GGCAAGCACCTGAACAGAAACCACGGCCAGGAGCAACAGGTTAACTCTTCCTGCTGAAAAGGGGCCCCCTTGACTCTCCATGGCACTCCTGACAGCACTCTCCCTTCACACAGAAACCCAGCTCACGAAGAGCCATGTTACTGGTTTGCACCTACCATCACGAATTTCACAGGCCTCTTCTCTTTGATCAGCATTCTCCACCATGGCACCCAGGAGGTAGTGTTGTCTGCAGCAGCACAGCTTTCAGTAACAGACACAGCTTCAGAGGCGGTGGTGCACTGGTGGAACCACCCAAGCATCAGTGGGAAGAACCTTGGGGAGACCTGGTCTCAAGGAGAGGAGGCCATCAGAGAAGCTGGAGGGCAGCCTGGCAACTACCTGCACATGCAGGGACATCAGGCAGCTTTGGAGATAGCATGAGAAGTACTGCAGGAGTGCCCCTGCCCCACACATGCTCCCTGATGTAAAAGCCATTGCGAGAGCATGCCTGGTAAATCGTCCCACACTAAATCACTCTTCAGAGGCAATGGAAACTCTCACTGCTTATCCTTGCACTAATCAACCTCCTTTCAATTAATCTTCCAGTTCAGGGTCCTCCTTTTAATTTCAGCAATATCAATCACAGACCATACTACTCCTTTTCTGGTCTGTTTCTCCCTCTCTCTGGGAAGCACAGAAGAGTCCTCAAAGTGCCTTAAGTGCCCTGTCCTCATCAAGGAAGCACTTCAGCTCTGTGTACTCAGCACTCAAAACTAATGTTAACTGGCCATGTAACCATACACGGCTGTTGGACTTCCGATGATTGAGGTCTGTCACGAGGACCTCCCCACGGTTACCTTCAGGTGCCAGAGGCAGAGACCGTCCTGAGGCTGTACAACCCAAGGTAATCCTTAAACTTTCTTCAAGGCCATCAAAGTTCCCCTGGTGATACTGAGATGAATATATCCTTCACAGTGCGGAGGAGGACAGGTTCACTCCTCCGGTGTAATTGCTTGGTTCACCTTTGCCATGTGTGAGGCTGGGGACAAAGATACTCACCCACAGCCCCTGAAACCAGCAAGCACTCTCAAAGAGTGAGAACTCTGCAGGTTTTGAGATCTAAAATGTCCACAGCTAGCCAGCATCACCAGTGCATTTAAGCAGCAGCACTTATTTAATCTGATAAAGCCCATGTGTAGAGAGTTCAAAATAATCACAGACTTCCTATTTACTACCCTTCCCTCACAGACTGGAGGACAGCAGTCTTTCAAAGCTTTTAATAACTTTATCCAGAAATCACATCTGTTTTACAGAAGAGGGCTCATCTCTTTCACTGAGGGACGACAACAAAAGCAAGCGTCATTATGCACTTCCAAACAGAGTGCCATCAGCCTCCAGAGGGTGATGGCAACTGGTCCCATGGACTCCACCACTGCTGAAGCCATGCTCCCCTACTACAGGTCAGCACTGACAGTCTAGGACCTCAGCAGCAAAGCTGGTTTCTCCTCAAGGCAGCTATGGAAATCATAGGCTTGCAAAATAGCGAGATTCTGCCTGCTTGGACTTGTTTTATGTTCAACATGAATAACTAAGAACTAAATCTCTAGTCAAAACTTCTAATTCTGCAAATAAGCGAACGATCACCAATTCTGTGTCCCACTCTGTCTGAAAGGCAATCATTCACTCCTCTTAAATAATAGTCCTTTTCAAATTCCAGTGGTGTTCACGTAAACATCCCATCAAATAAGCTTAGCTCTACTATTTTTAATTTAGGATTTAAATTAATAATGCAAGGCCTTTAGGTTTACAAGGAATGTAAGTAATACACATGCCTGGACAAAAGTTATTAGTGTTATTTGGTTGGGTTACAAATACAAGTTACATTCAGTAAGTTAATTAATTAATTAATTATATTATGTCTGTGTACTCCCTCCAAGCACATCTTTTGCGGATTACAATTTCGTAAGTAGAATTTATTGCTACTTTTAGCAGAGAAATTTGGGTTGGTACTTTTTATATGAGAGAAGGCATTACCCTATGAAGATCCAGAGGGATTAAGTAAAAGCTACCAACCAAAAAAGCCTATGCATCTACTGCTGTCAAGTGAAAGATGATTTTTACCTTAGACAGCATGACAGTAAAACACTCGGTCATAATTTAAATGACAAAGTGATGAAGAATTCATCCTGACCCTATCTAAAGTTATGACAGAAAGAGATGTTTAGTAAGCTCCTACTATTTTGTATCTTCTGCAATATTCAGCCCTTAGTGCAGAACTATAATCGTGCATTTCATTCATGAGTGAAATACTGTTTTTTGTGGGGGGTTTTGGGGGGATTTTTTTTAACTTCGTATTTTCCTTGTAAGTAAATAGAATAAGCTTAATTTAGTTTACCCTGTAGAGAAATTTTAGCTTACTGAATTCTGCTCACTGAACGTTGATTCTCCTATGGGATGAAAAACTCTGAGTGGGCTTTATCCTTAGTTGTATAAACATTCTTGAATGCAATAAGTATTTAAGAGCTTACAAAAGAGAAAGAGCTGATGCCTATATTAAAAAAAAAAAAAAAAAAAAAAGAGTTGTTTCCATTCTGTGAGTCACTTAATCTTTCAAATTAAGTAAAATTTTCAAAGTCAGGAAGAATGTTCTCTTTTAAAAAAAATACAAAAGTAAATCTTTTGCAAGTCTAACTAGCATAATTTTTGTTTCTAATTGGCAATGTTAGCTACAGAGAAAAAAAAATCCAGGTTTTGGACAAAGTCCTTAGACCAAGTATGCCTTTCCTTTTTTTCCATCAGATGTGGAAAAGCATGCACCATCTTCATGATTAAAGGTACTGTTGTAATTGACAAGAGAATGTGAACTATGGTCTGGAAACGAGCACACTGAAGCCTTAAAGCTCCCTACCACTGCCTCCCACCCCGGTGAAACCCACGCACACAGAAGATACAGGCCATGGTACATGTCTTCAAGGAGTACACAGCAATCTACATCCCTCATATTTTATAACAAATAGTCAAGACAAATAGCTATTCAGTCCTACAATAAAAACCACTTAAGACAACTCAATGAATGTGCCAAACTTCAGTTGAACTTCTTCCACTTCTTTCTTCTAATCTGAGAAAATTTGTACGGTCTCCATCAGAAGGGATATGTTCCTACAGGCATTTGTGGTAGAGGCAGGAGTCTGAGAGCTGATCTGATCCAGCTCAAAATTCCCTGTGAGCGCTGACAGCTCTTCAGCCTGGTTGCGTGAAAGGCTGACAGCATCCGCAGCTAACAGCTATCGATGGAGCAACAGAATAACTGGCCTGGCACGCATCCACCTACTTTTATTTCCCCTGACCCTGATGATAGGGGTGGAAGGGTAAAGTGATGGAGGATCAACCCAACACAAAGCTGGACTGATGGGGTCATTCTTCAGAACGAGCCTGGAGCAATGTTCAAATCCATATCCCAAATGGCAAAACAAAATTCATTTTCACAAGGTCCATTTCTGCTACCCAAATCAGAGTATTTTTTTTTAGCTTTTCCTCTTCCATTCTGCAAACCCATCTTCAGGTATTACCCAGTAACATCCTGCGTCCCAGTTTCATTCACTATAATTGTGATCCATGTTGACAGGGTTTCCTTCCTTACAGAGGTGTTATGAAGATTACAGTCACAAGAGAGCCTGCTACTTCAGTACAGAGAACCAAGGGATATTTTGCAAGCAAAACAAACCCTCTTTAGGGTATGACCGGGAAAGAGAGCATCGTATAGGAAATATGAGGCAGCCACATATGAAACAAGACGTTTAAAGTTCAATATAAATAATTGCTTCAGTCACTATCACTGCCTCCGCTGCTCAGTCTTGTGCCCTTCTTGTCCCCTTCATGCAAAGAATAGCAATCTTTTCTCATATATGTATGACTCTACACAAAACATATACTAGGGTACTTTCTTTAACAGGAAGGAAATGATGTAATGGTGTTCTTCAAAAAGTAGAAAGCTGTTTTTCTGTGGAAAAACTTATTTTTAAGGATTCTTTCCTCTATTCTGAACACCCAAAACATGCATAAGGCAACAGAAATTTCTGGACATGCAAAAACTGCCAGCTTTGTCCTTGTTTGGTTTTAAAAATTAAAAAAAAAAAAAAAAAAAATCAAAAGAAAGTAAAGCATCTTGCTCCAAAAAGTTCACTTAACTTTTTCTTGATGAAAATGGGAGTGATCTGAGAACGGACATAATCTTCCCTCTCTGATCAACACAGCAAAGATAAAACACCAGAAATACTTACAATTCCTAAGGCAAGTTCTTTCTACATCTGCTTTAGGCTATTTTGGCTGTAGCATTTATGTACTCTGATTATTTTGTACATTAAATACCATAAATATCCCTGTTGATTTGTGATCTATTTGTGGGTTCCAACATACAGCTGTATTTCATTTGGTTGAGAGGACATTCTGCAAGGAGGACTTGTACACCAATGCATTTCATGGACAATCATTATAATTTATGGGTAAGCCAGTGATGCTAACAGCTTTTCTCTATGCCATAGTTCAACTTTATGTCTGTGTACCTATACCAAAGTGTACCTCTGTAGGAGAGATGAAGAACATTTATGTATGATTCACTTCAAAAGCAAGTGAACAATCCTTTAGCTTCATATGGAAGGAACTTTGCAGTCCCTCTGCAACACACAAAATACCTTTGCAAGCAAAACACCCTAGCAATTTCTTCAGAGACAACAGATTTTTCTGAAAGACAATATACAAGATTAATAAAAATATTCTCTCTCTCCTTATGAGTAAGCCCCCTCCCCAAATTAGCTTAACCTACTATAGATATAGTACAACATTAAGTATTTCTGCGTTTTGTGCATGCCTTAGGGGTTCTATTGATAGCTGCCATCTGCACAAGGTATTCTGTTTGACTGTCATGCACATAATACATTTTGTTTAGCACATCAGAAAGAATTAGTACTGAAGAATAAAGTATATCTCATAAAAACACAACCATGCAAGTTGCAGCCACCTACCTGTACTAGTGCGATATGTGCCTGTGTGTGCTGGTTGCAGAGGGTCCCCCTGACTCTGGCTGAGACTCCTCATAGGGGGCTTCTGATAAACTCTGTCTTCGTAAATAGGATCTATATGGTGTTCTGGAGATTGCAGTGCCCTTAACTCGGAGCCAAGGTGGCTGTGCTGGCTGCTGTAAGATGCTCGAGACCCAGCTGCAAATAGATTTATAAGAAACATTTAAGAGAGAGAAAAAACAGTGACAAATAAAGGATGTGACTTTATTAAAAGCTTACTTGAAAACAGCACTTAAACAGAAAAAAACCCAAACAAAACAAAGAAATAAATGTTTTCAACATACAAATAGAAACAGCATGCAAGGGAGGCCACAGCTTCAGTTAATCACATTAGTTATATCATCCAGCTGTCTGCATCTACTCCAAAACCTCACTTCTTCTGAGGAAACTATATATTTTATGTGGAAAGATAGGTATCATGATATCATCCTCTCTTGAACAGACCAAAAACCCCCCAATCCCTCTCAAAAAAGCAACCAATAAATAAAAGCAAAAAACCCTGAAAAAAAGTGCAATCCAGGAGTGTCTGAGACCAAAGGGGTCCAAAGAAGAACCAGGAATGGGGGAGAAGAAAGGAGCAGGAGTCAGAAGTCATTTCACATGTCATGCCCATATCTTAAGATCTACAAATGAAACAAGCTAAAGATGATGGATAGATGTAGTTACACACAGGCTGCTCTTTTTGCTGCTTCTCTAAAGTTCAACAGAATGGTCATATAACATTTTGCCCTCAACAGTTTTAAAAAAAAAATCATATTGCTAAGACCTTCTCCAACTTAAATATCCTCTGAGGATAAATATATTAAACATGACTCTTGGAAAAACTATTTTTAGGATACTGCACTCTGTTTTTTTTGTTTGTTTGTTTGTTTTATAAGATGAACTATGATTGCATTAAAACATTTACTTATTCTACTATTAAAAATATTATTTTCTATCATGAAATTTAAAGAAGAGACTTGTATATTTCCAGCTGTGATTACTTTTGTCACTTGAATCCCTCTGTCACTTAGGTACTTTGATTCTGTGATCCTTTAACAAGATTCCCAAGGAGAGTCACAGGGAAGCCACACCAACATTAGACATTTTGAAGGCAAGAATCAAGTTAAGTATGCAACACCTGACAAAGGTTAGGTCTATACCACAAAGTGGTAACATGCTATCAAAATGTTTAGGAAAGCAATCCAAGATACAACTATTACAGCCCTTCCTGATACTTCTGTGAGGTTAAATTCCTGGATGTGGGTAACGTTCTACTAGCTTAGCTTGTACTACTCAGAGCCCATTCCTGCCAGAAATCTCTACAACATTTATTGTGTTGACAGTGGTTTTGTTGTATAAACGAACACTAAATATTTTTAAACTGCAAAGCACAGATATGAAGTCATGTGTGATAGCAACATAGGGTAGAAATGAGAAAGATACACAGACATGACATTACTTAAACTTTAATACAAATTGTCTGGAGGAAAAAATAATTTATTCTATTTCCTTCTTTGTAATCAGCTTGCACCATATACATATTTTCTTCCAAATTTTTCAATGTATGTGCATGTTTTCAGTGGAATAGTCTATTTGCATATTTTTCCCTTCAAACATTTTTCAGACTGACTTGCCATTAGCACACCACTGAAAGTAATTCTGTTGTTCCCCTTACTAGAAAGTCTGCCAAGAATCCCAAGGACATATTTTATCTCTAACTACTGCAATTATCCAGGTAGTTGATATTACTATTACAGAATTAAATTCTTCATGGTCCACATTTTCAAAATGCTCTTTAACCCCTGCATCTTTAAGACTGATTCTCAGAACAGCTGAATGGCTCCACCAAGGTCTAGTATTCTTCAGAGTGGCCTAAAAAACAGCCTGTTAAGATTACATCCAAATTTCTCTGTGTACTTAGTTCAACCTGTATTTGCAGGAAAAAAATACAGAAAAACTGAGGGCAGCATTTCAGAGGTTCAACTATTCAACAACAAACCAGACTTGCTACAGAATAAAGAATTATACTCCCTTCTGTAAGTACTGCTTTTATCCATTTACAAATTAACAATGCTTTTCGGAACAATAGATTTTCTTCTTAATCCTGCTTCCAATGAACCAAAAGATTTTTCTCATTGAATTTAGGGTTAGTATAACTCAAATATTAACATGTTTTCAAGGAGTTATGCTAGCCTTCTAGTGGGGTGGGCTTAATTCTACCTCCTTCATACTCTACCGATAGTTCTGAATCTGCAAGTTTAAACAGAAGATCTCTATTAGTTTATTATGCTAATATTAATCAGGATTATTTACATACTGATCATGTAATTAAGTTTAGCATTAGTTTATTATAATATTAAAGATGTTCATTTACATACTGCACATGTAATTAAGACTGTAACACTACTGTATTAAACAGTAAACATGTGTATAGCCAGACCAAAACACACTGAAGTTCAAGCAAACAAGACAAGGAAGATGTGACAAACAATAAAAGAAAAAACAACATAACTTGGCAAAAAACAGCTAAGTGGCAATCTAGAAATTACTTGAAGCCACCTGAATAAAACAATTATGGGTAAACAGCCTGAAAAAAGGTTCGAGAGTTAAAACATTATCATGGAGTAACTGCCACTATTCCTCTAACATTTAAAGAAAATGAGTATTTCAACAGATAATTAAAATATTTTCATTTTAAAAACAGAAACACTCTCAAATCTCAGAAATAAAGGCATTTGGAATATGCAGAATCACAGAATCACTGAATCATCTAGGTTGGAAAAGACCTTGAAGATCATCCAGTCCAAACATTAACTTAACACTGACAGTTCCCAACTACACCAGATCCCTCAGCGCTATGTCAACCTGACTCTTAAACACCTCCAGGGATGGGGACTCCACCACCTCCCTGGGCAGCCCATTCCAACGCCTAACAATCTCTTCTGCAAATAAATGCTTCCTAATATCTAGTCTAAACTTTCCCTGGTGAAACTTGAGGCCATCACCTCTTGTCCTGTTGCTTATTACTTGTTTAAAGAGGCTCATCCCCAGGTCTCTGCAACCTCCTTTCGGGTAGCTGTAGAGGGCGATGAGGTCTCCCCTCAGCCTCCTCTTCTCCAGACTAAACACCCCCAGTTCCCTCAGCCGCTCCCCGTACGACCTGTGCTCCAGACCCTGCACCAGCTTCGTTGCCCTTCTCTGGACACGCTCGAGTCATTCAATGTCCTTTTTGTAGTGAGGGGCCCAAAACTGAACACAGGAATCGAGGGGCGGCATCACCAGTGCCGAGTACAGGGGTCAGATCCCTTCCCTGTCCCTTCTTGGCCACCTGGGCACACTGCTGGCTCCTGTTCAGCCAGCTGTCAATCAGCACCCCCAGGTCCCTCTCTGACTGGCAGCTCTCCAGCCACTCCTCCCCAAGCCTGTAGCGCTGCTGGGGGTTGTTGTGGCCCAAGGGCAGCCCCCGGCATTTGGCCTTATGGAAACTCCTCCAGTTGGCCTCAGCCCATGGCTCCAGCCTGTCCAGGTCTCTCTGCAGAGCCTCCCTGCCCTTGAGCAGATCAACACTCCCACCCAACTGGGTGTCATCTGCAAACTGACTGAGGGTGCCCTCGATCCCCTCATCTAGATCATCAGTAAAGATGTTAAACAGGAGTGGCCCCAACACCGAGTCCTGGGGGACACCACTCGTGATTGGACACCAAGTGGGTTTAACTCCGTTCACCAAAACTCTTTCGGCCCAGCCATCCAGACAGTTTTTTACCCAGCAAAGTGTGTGCCCATCCAAGCCACAAGCAGCTTCACCAGGAGAATGCTGTGGGAAATGGTGTCAAAGGCCTTACTAGAGTCAAGGTAGACAACATCCACAGCCTTTCCCTCATCCAATAAGCAGGTCGCCCTGTTGTAGAAGGAGATCAGGTTTGTCAGGCAGGACCTGCCTTTCATAAACCCATGCTGACTGGGCCTGATCACCTGGTTGTCCTGCATGTATTGTATGATGGTACTCAGGATGAGCTGCTCCATCAGCTTCCCAGGCACTGAAGTCAAGCTGACAGGCCTGTAATTTCCCGGATCATCCTTCAGACCCTTTTTATAGATGGGCGTCACATTGGTCAATTCTGTCAGGACCTCCCCGGTCAGCCAGGACTGCTGGTAAATGATGGAAAGTGGCTTGGCAAGCACCCCATCCAGCTCCTTCAGCACCCTCGGGTGTATCCCATCCGGTCCCATAGACTTGTGTGTGTGTGTGTGATGCAGCAGGTCACTGACTGTCTCCTCCTGGAATGCAGGGGAGGTCATTCTCCCAGTCTCTCTCTTCTGGCTGAGGAGGCTGGGTTCCCTCAGTACAACTAGTCTTGTTATTAAAGACTGATGCAAAAAAGGCATTAAACACCTCAGCCCTTTCATTAATATACTTTTTTAAAGCGTGTCTCTTAAAACACCTTTAATTTCAAGCAAAACTGATGCTTTTCGACAGACCTCAATATGCAATTCTACTACACTATTTCCAAATTATCAGATAATATTTAAACACAAAACACTAGCACCCTTTAATTTTTAGTTCTTAAATCTGGTTTAAAAAATATAAAAAGGGAACAGAACCATTATTTTTAATGTTTCTATTAAATTGGTATTTCAAAAAGTGGAATATCAAGTTTTGGTTTTGATTAAAATCGCTTTTCCTTCATTCTTAAATCTATTAATTTATTCAAGCCTCAACTAAGGAGCAACAGGGTTTTGTTGCATGTTTTATTTAAACATTAAAATCAGCTAACCATTAGCTATTATGCTCAACAGTTATCTTTGTTGCTGGTGATATCCAGTAGAACTCACACAGATAACTTTCAGAGAAACTAACACAATTAGAGCTGAAGTCAACAAAAGACTTGTGGATTTTTATACCATTACAAAAAAAGGGGGCGTGTTTGATGGATTTCAGACAACTGCATCCTACCTCAGCCCTACATGCTCAGCCCCTCCACCATATTGTGCTGCTACTTTGGAAGACACTGGAAAGATAATTGATCAAAACAAAGACCATGAACTCAAAGAACTGATGCCACTGAGAAAGAGAAGGGTGTAACACACATCCTGCCTGCATCCTGGGTTAGCAGCAGCTACAACCTTTACTACCTGAAGCTGAATGTTGATCTG